TTCGGAAATTTTTATTAAAATACAAAATCAATACTTATTCCGAAAAAAGTAAAAAATATTCCAGAAAAATAAATATTTACTTTTTCGGAATTTTTTTACTTTTTTCGGAATAAGAGTTGATTTTGTATTTTAATAAAAATTTCCGAAACAAATAATTTTTCCGGATTTTTTTTTTACTTTTTTCGGAATAAGTGTTGATTTTGTATTTTTTTTAAAATCCGAAAAAATATTTTTTCTGAAAAAATAATTTTGCCATGTTGGATTGCTTAAGTGGATGGCCATGTAAACAAATCTAACCCAGTTGGACTGCCATGTCACCTTCAATAGCAAGACTAACGGATTAAGGGCATTTGTGGTCCAAAATATAGACGGCAAGGATATATTTGGTACCAAAAACAAACGGATGGCATTTTTGAGCTATTTCAAATAGTTCAAGGACATTTTTGGCCCTTTTCCGTTTAGATAAAGAAGAACTAAATCAAACAACCTATTACCCAACCACTTAAACTAAAAATAGTCGGTAGATGTATAATAAATGTATAATGCATATATAATACGTCTATAATTAATGTATAATCTATGTATACCGATTAGGAAAAAATAAACACTAAATCCAGTCGGTTGTTTGCATAAAGATTCTTTAGATAATCCTGACCTACATGTAAAATGCGTACTATATATAAAGTTCAATCAAGTTATATTGTTAGGAAGGCAATATCAACGAATGCATACTCGTATATTGTAGTTTAATTGCCTCCATAGTCTCTTCCGAGTATTTCACCATCTGCTAGTGGGATTTAGAAAATAAAAAAAAGCATAAATCTTTCATTTAAATATATGAATTTCAAGCATAAATATATGGAGTTAAACCATAAATCTCTTAAGTTGGCTTGCACAAACAATATGCTAAATTTTAGATAAAATTTTATAATTTTAGACGCAAAATTTATTAACTTTAATCATATATGACTAGAGTTATTTTGAAGTGACTAAACATATAAATTTTTTATAAAGTTCGGCCGTTTCAGTGGAACCCATGACCTATCGGTCACACGGAAACGACTTTACCATTGCTCCAAGTCTCCGCACCGAAATCAACAATACTTACCATTTCAAAGGAAACTTCTATGGAGGTGAAGTTTTTAGAAATGCCTTTTGAAAATTTAAACCTTGTATAGATAGATGGCTTTAAAAATTTACCATTTCGTATATGCATTGTTCCTAAAGTTACTAAACATTATCTTGCCACTGGAACAGAATATTTAATATAAATGAATTCACAAACTTAGGAAAACTTGATGTTTCAACCATTGGATAGATCATGACTATACCATTTTAAATTTCAATAATTCAAATTCTTACAACAACAAAAAAAAAGAAGTACAACCTGACATAGTGGGGTCTATGGAAGGTTGTGTGTACGCAACCTTACTACTAACTTGTGGAGATAGAGATGTTGTTTCCAATAGACCCTCGGTTCAATTCAAATTCTTACAGAATTCAAATTTAATTCATGAACTAACACAGTTGTGTTAACGTTCAAGGGTTATTTCTGCTCAAGAAATCTTTGAAGATAGGATGAAATTCTGAACCATCTGGGAGCAATTCTACTTTCTCGCAGTTTTCAATATTGAGATGAGAAAGCCTGGGCATCGCCTTATCTCCCGCCCTACATTTCTCCAAGACGAACAAACCAGAGAGTTCTAAAAGTTCGAGTTGAGGGAAACCTTCAGCAGAACATATAATCTCTTTAACTAGAAAAGCATCATCTTTGAGTACTAGAAGCCTTAGATTGGGAAGCTTCTCTAAAGTTGCCATTGGATCTTCGCAAAGTTGAGTGTTAATAAGGACCATCTCTGTGAATCTTTCGGAGATCAGATTGTATGGTGGCAGCTGGTAAAGGTGACCCTCGAAGGAAAATTTAGGTGGAATCCCCGACTCCATTAGCTGCCTAAAAACTTTATGCCTTTTTTCTGTATAACAGTCGAACTTTTTTATCTCGATGGAGGAATGAGACCATCTTTCTGGAGCAGTTTCCATGGGACCGGTTATTGACTTAAGGTCGTCAAGATTCCCTTCAACTTTCACATCTAGGTACCGGAGTTTGGTCAATTTGAAAAGATCTGCGATTTCACATACTTTGGAGGTGAAGTTCTTTAGTGTCTGAAGCTCTGTCAATCCATCCAATCGAAGTTTTTCTCCCTTAATTATCATTTGAAATGTTTTCGGAAGATAGAGATGTTGCAATCTTCTCATCTTCCGCAACACATTCGGGATGATAATCTTGCATAAATCATGAATTCTCAAATCAAGGACTTGCAGATGTGACAAGCTGCTTATAGATGATGGCAACACCTCTAGGAAACATCCTTTGAAACTTAAATATCTTAACAAAGGTAGAGCAAAAATACCTTCGGGTAGTTCCCTCCCTCTCTCTCGAAAGTCTATCCTGTCGAAATCAAGAATTCTGAGCGCGCGGAGTTGCTTAACATCTGATAATACAGGCGGCCATACAAGCTCCTCTAATCGTTGATGCTCATTTGTCTCAATAATTCGAAGACTCCGAAGGTTTCTGTATTGTGGATTGACTTGAGATTTATACTTCCCTAGATAAATGACAAGACTCCGTGTTCTGCTAAAGTAAAATGAAGGCGGATTATCTTCAGTTCGTAAATCCATGACTTTCAAAAGGTCTCTCTCTTCTGCTTTTGAGAGGCACATATCTCCCATTAATCCAACTACGCGGCAAGACTTGAGCTCTATTCTCTTTTCCACGTCTATCATTCCCTTCTGCGCTAGAACCTTCAAATTCTCCTCTGTCAAGTCCAAGAGTGTCATTGTTCTTCCACATTCTTGTGACGATATCAAGCTTTCAATTGTCCACAAATGACATAACTTCTCTGGTTCTACCTCTGGATCTTCCCTAAAATGGCCCAAATAGAGAAAACAAAGTTTCAAATGATCTGACAACTCATCATAACTTGGAGTCATAACTTGTGATAGATCTGATCTCGCATTTTTCAGCACAATCTCCCACTCACTCACATCCTTACCAGCTACTAATTTTGCAAGTTCTATAACTGCCCCTGGAAAACCTTCACACTTTTTTACCATTTCCAAACCTTTTGTCCCCACCTCTTTTCCGATTTCAGCTCCTGTAATAAATAAAGCGGATATGTTACAAGGGCGGATACAGCGTTGCAGTACGGGGTTCCATTTGACCCCGGTACGTTCTGCACGTAGCATATATTTATGTGTAAAAATCTACTATTATTACAACAAATAGCAGATACAAACTGATAATTTTTTAAAAATACAATAAGTTCATTGCTAAGAACCTTAAGATGAACCTATAAAGTTTAAATCTTGGATCTGTAATAGAATACCCTTTTTTTCCACTTATACTAATTGTAATTGAGTTATATAGTTATCCTCCACCATAAATTTAATAGAACAAGCGCATTACTTAAAAAATTTGGAACATTATTGCTTATCGTGCTTTCAACTCTTTTCGTTATGTAGCATATTTTACCTGGATTCATTTTCGGCCATGCTGTCCTTTTAAGCAACTCCAAGCTGTATTCATCTGTTAAAGGCCTCTTTCTATGTACGTAAGGCGCCTGATTCATACCCTCCGCTGCTTCTTTTGCTCGAGTTGTCACAAGTATTCTGCTACCTTTAGCTCCCACAGCCGGACGTAGCCTCTGCCAATCCTCAATTGAGCGTACATCTTCCAGAAGAATCAAACTCCTGGACTCCTTCCTGAACTCCTTCCTGGATTCCTTCTCCTCCAGTTGTTCGCGGATCTTTTCTGCAAGAGTATCTGTTGTCGAATCCTCGTAATCCATTGTAGAACCCACAAAGCGTGTGAGGACAGACGAAAATTCACGTTTGAAATTGAAGCTTTCAGATACAGTAATAATGATGCGGTGCTTGCGAAACTCTTGGACAACCCTAGGGTCATTGTATATTGCATGAGCAAGAGTACTCTTTCCTGTGCCACTAGGGCCCCATATGGGAATTACTTCGAACCTGTGTTCGTAGCCCTCTGATTTATCAAACAAAGCTCGTAAAATCAGCTCCTTCTCTTCCTCAATCCCAACTGCTTCGCCACCAAGCTCATTTACAAAGATTTGCTTCCATTTTTTACAACAATTGTCCCAGCTGCTGCTGCTGCTATCGACATTAACATTGGAGGAGAGCTGCAAGACATTCTCTGAAAGAAGACGCTTGATCGTGGTACACAATTTCGTAAACTCTGACCTGTCTTGCTTCTTGACAGCGGCACCATGTCCGCTACACAGAGGAAATTGCTTCACAAAAGATCTGCCAGACCTGGATGCCAAATTTTCGACCATATATTCCACGCGATAAACAAGTTCTTCAATTTCCCTCGCGCTGTCGCTGGGCATTTGATCATCTGCTGTTAAATCTTGTAAGAAAATCTCCAGAAATTGAACTACATCGCTGACTTCTCTGTCCGCTCCGATTCTTTCGGTTTCTTCAGCCAAAATCAACTGCCTAAGCTTTTTGATAGCGAGGAGGAGGGCGACTTTTGCCATGGCCTAGCACGGCAGAGCTAGAAGGCAATATACAGATTCCATAGAACCAGTGGGATTGTCATACATGGTATTATGAAATCCAATAAATATGTACTCCATTTGTCCCAATTTATGTGGAACTCTTTCCTTTTTAATCTGTTCCAAAAAGAATGTTACATTTTTATATTTTAGAAATAAATTAACATTAAAATCTCTATTTTAACATTAATGAGATGATTTCTATCCACATAAATGTTAAAGGTTTTTCCACAAAAATTTCAAAAGTTTTTTTTCTTTCTTTCTTAAACTGCGTGTCAAGTAAAAAGGTGCCATACAAATTGAGACGGAGAGGGTAATAAATTTAGAATCTAACTATTAGCGATTGAAGTTGTTATAGAATTGAGTTCAAATCCTGCTAAATTAAAGAGGCATGGCTAGTGGAGAAAAAAACGATTTGTCTTTTTCATTGATAGTATGCCATATACAGAGAATTAAGAAGCAACCCTAAATACCCAAAAACTAGGTTAATTAATTAAAGAATATTACCATACTTACAAAAACGGAAAGAAACCCCCCCCCCCCCCCCCCCCC